TCCTACATCTTCATGATGCTCTTTCTGGGACAACCTGGGAGATACTGAGACTGTCCGCCATCCTAACCCTGCTGATTTCAACCACAGGAACACCCCGGGGCAGGAGTCCTTTGGGATGCCTAGTCTCTAGTAGGACTGTCTCAACCTCCCGGGGCTTTGCTCCAAAACCTGGTACTCTCATTCCAATTTCTCACAGACTGCTTCTACCCAAGGTGGCAGAAAAGAGGGAGGGGCTAATGAACTGAGAGCCAGGGGCCCGCAGCCCACCTCATTCTCATCTGCAGTGAATGCTGTGGGAAAAGGAGAGGGCTAGGAGGACCCAACCTAGGAGGACCCAACCTTAGGGTAAGGCTCCGGTTGCTTCAACGGTCTTCCGTGTTCTTGGAGACTTTGTTTCTTTGCTCTGCTCCCTCCCCCCGCACTCCACTCTCTCAGTTCCGAGAATCTTCACACTTCCTGGATGCACTTTCAACCTTCACTCTGTCTCCTGTCTAGCTGGTGTCAGCTCAGGCCACAGCTCCAGGTGTGAATGTGGGGACCAAAGAGGGTTGGCCACCAGTTAAGGAGCAGGGTTGCCGTTATTTGCATGTCCCCGCCCTCGTTTGCTTGATCTTATCTGCATAGGACCCTGTCACCTAATCAGGACACCTCCCCAGCTTGCTGCCCACGCTCTTATAAAAGGGGGGTCTGCGTTGCTTTGCAAACGCTGGGCACGAAGCCGCCAAGTCAGGAAAGAGCTTCAGGATCCCGCTTCTGCGCTTCTTAGAAGAGCCGTGGGGCTCAGACTTTGTTTCACTCACACCAGCTCATTCATTGCCTGTGTGCAGTTCTCCAACTTCTTGCAAGATGACTATGTGGGATGGGGTGATGCCCTTTTACCCCCAGCCCAGGCACGCGGCGGGCTTCAGCGTCCCGCTGCTCATTGTCATTCTGGTATTCTTGTGCCTGGCCGTCAGCTTCCTGCTCATCTTGCCTGGGATCCGTGGCCACTCGGTAAGCGGGTACTAAGAGCTCCTCTTAGGGGGATTCTAGAAGCTCACATCGTAGGTGAGGGTGCAATGCGGAGAGCATTTCTCGGAGACTCCGGGCAGACAAGACTAAGGAAGGTTCTTCATGAATAGTTAAACTGGGGATCAGCAGGAGTAAATTTAGAAGTCTGGTGCAACAATCCACTCTTCATGGGAGAGGACAGTGCAGGGTTCAGGGATTCCCGGGAAGAGACTCTAACTGTCTTATTTTGGAGGCTGCTGCAGAAAGTGGGAACCAGCCCAGTAGTCCAGGCTTCCAGTGCTGCCGGGACCTCCCACCTCTCTCTGAACACTTGAGCACCCCTGTCCTGTCATCTGGACAATAACCTTTTGGCCAAGAGGATGGGCACGGGCAATTTAGACTGCTGTGTTTTCGTTCGGTTAAAGACACAGAGGGTTCAAACTTGTAGCAAGCCTGGGCAGTTCCTTTAAATGCTCCCAGACCCCAGATCCTAAACCGGACCTTTTTTTTTTCAAGTCTGAGAAGACGCCAATCTTTCTGTGTTAATTTTTGTTGGTGGTGGTTTGGGGGAACTGGCCCATCTAGAAATATCCACAGTTCCTCTCCTTTCATTGACTACCAGATCCTGGGCCTCCCTCTTCAGGGAGAGGTGACCCCTGCCTGCCTGGCACTTCTGAACTCACTGAGCCTCACCAAGCAGTGACTGAACTAGTGGTAGCGAACAGGCGCCAGACAGCGGGGGGTAGAAAGGGTAGTCGGAGAGCGCAAGGCAAGCTGGACCTGAAAATAGGACCGGGGAAATGGTCACATCAGCACACGACCAGAAAACACCACAAATGCCAGTGCCTTAGAGGAACTGAAGGAAAAGCAGGTGTGACATCAGTCTCAAAAGGTCAGGTTGAGATGGACTGGGGTCAAGGGAGGTCTTGAGGATGGGTTGGGCAGAACCCAATCCTGACCCGAGTGTCTATCTTTCCCCACAGCGATGGTTCTGGTTGGTGAGAGTTCTTCTTAGTCTGTTCATCGGTGCAGAGATTGTGGGTGAGTGTATGGGGCCACGCGTGGGGCTGCAGAGACTGTGGGTGAGTGTATGGGGCCACGCGTGGGGCTACAGAGACTGTGGGTGAGTGTATGGGGCCACGCGTGGGGCTGCGGAGACTGTGGGTGAGTGTATGGGGCCACGCGTGGGGCTGCAGAGACTGTGGGTGAGTGTATGGGGCCACGCGTGGGGCTGCAGAGACTGTGGGTGAGTGTATGGGGCAACGCGTGGGGCTGCAGAGACTGTGGGTGAGTGTATGGGGCAACGCGTGGGGCTGCAGAGACTGTGGGTGAGTGTATGGGGCAACTCGTGGAGAGAGGAGTTGGAGCAGGGAGGGGGTGGCAGAGGGCCCTGAGAAATGGGGAGCTAGCTCGGTTTCCTGGTCCCCCTCCCACTTTGCACCTATTTCTGGTACCCCTGGCTGTTCTTTTGCTGTGGGCTTTTTGTTTTGAGACTGTCTCTTGCTTGCTGTGTAGTCTAGGCTGACCTTGAGGAGTGCTTACTTGCCCAGGTACCCCCCTGCCTCCACCACTGCTCTTGGCTAGTGCTCACTTTTCTGCCCTTACCTTGCTGTTACACCAGGTCCCTAAACCTCCATCTTTCTGTCCCACCTCCTATCCCTCTCCCCCTCCCCCCCAAGTCATCGTGTGCCTCTCCCCATAGCTGTGCACTTCAGTGGAGACTGGTTCGTGGGGGGAGTGTGGACCAATACATCCTACAAAGCCTTCAGTACAGCCCGTGTTCAAGTCCATGTCGGCCTGCATGTGGGACTGGTGGGCGTCAATATTACACTCAGAGGTGAGGAGGCTGGGGCAAAGTGAGTTCTTGGGGCTGGGAGATCGAATGGTTGGGAGCTGAGCGCCAAGGGATGTTAGAAGATCTTTTACATCCCTCAGGCTCAGAAAGCCTTTGATTGACGTGGATTTGGGTTTTCCCCCAACGACTACCTAATCTTTCTCTTTCCTGCCAGTTGCCCCACCCTTAGTTCCCTATCTGAGATGTATTCAGTTTCCGGGTCCCTGGCCTTGCAGAGTGCATTAACCCCACAGTTTCCCCGCAGGAACACCAGTGCAGCAGCTGAATGAGACCATTGACTACAATGAGCGTTTCACTTGGCGTCTGGACGAAGACTACACCAAGGAGTACGTTGATGCCCTGGAGAAGGGACTGCCGGATCCCGTGCTCTACCTGGCAGAGAAGTTCACACCCAGCAGCCCTTGCGGGCTCTACCACCAGTATCATCTGGCCGGACACTACGCCGCAGCAACGCTCTGGTGAGCCTGTGGTGGGGACGGGGCAGGGTGCGTGTGACCGGGAGAGAACGGCCTCGGGAGTTGCGGGTTGGAACTGCAGCCTCGCGGGCAGGATCGTCCGGCGATCTGCAAAAACCGTGGGAATCCCAGGCACCGCGTGCGCGCAGGAGCCGGCTCTCCTCGGGGTTCCCCTGCGCCTCCTGCAGGCCTGGCCAGGGAACCCCGCTCACCGCGCGCTGCTTTGGTCCCCACCAGGGTGGCGTTCTGCTTCTGGATCATCGCCAACGCGCTGCTCTCCATGCCCACCCCGCTCTACGGAGGCCTGGCGCTGCTCACCACCAGCGCCTTCACGCTCTTCGCGGTCTTCGCTTTCGCCTCGGTCTCCAGCGTGCCACTCTGCCCCTTCCGTCTGGGCTCTGCCGCCTTCACGCCTCACTACGGCGCCTCCTTTTGGGTCACGCTGGCCACCGGTGAGTACCAAGGGATGCTAATCTGGTGATGATCGGGATATGTAAAGGATGCGCGCTACCCAGCTTATAGAGTGAGTTCTTACTTAATTTCTTCCTCTCGACATCAGGCAGAAGGTGGAGCAGGCGCTGTTACTCTCGTTTTATGATTGAGTAGAACTAGTTCGGAAGGGTTCAGTATCTTGCTCCAGTTAGCCTGAGAACTCGTGCATCGCGTAATACACATAAGAGTACTTTCTGAGGGTTGTGTGTGTGGGAAATTCCAAGGATGGGCTCCAGATGATGGCGAGGAGCGCCTGCACCCCTGACTCCCTGTCTTTCCGCCCTCCGGTGCAGGCATCCTGAGCCTCCTCCTTGGAGGGGCGGTGGTGATTCTCCACTACACTCGACCCAGCGTTCTTCGCTCCGTTCTGGGTCAAAGTGGCAAAGACTGTAGCAGTCAGGCGAAAGGGAACTCGCCTCTCATCTTCAATAACCCGCAACACGAGCAGTTCAAGGCTCCAGATTTGAATATTACTACTGTCCTGTGAAGAGAGCTAGGTCCAGATTCCCAATCTCCTTGGGATCCCGCAGACCCGAAGACAGTGTTAAAGGCACGCCCTAGGAGCACTGCTGAATCTAGGGGGACTAGGGGGAGCCCCGGAAGTGCCCTTTGCTCTAGGGAATGAATTTCTCCGAAGAGCTGTAAATAAACTTTTGTTTGTTTGTTTATTTTTCAAAATTTCCCCGCCCATTCATTTCCTTGACATCTCTTGGCCCTTGGAGTCATACAACCTTGAGAAGCTTCGCGCCAGGCTAGTGATAATCTGGTATTGTAAATTCTGGTGCTGAGAAATCAGAGAAACCCAGAAGGGAATCTGGGAGAGGCGCTCCCTCTAGTGAGGCCCGAGAGGCACCTGCATCTTCTTGAGCTCCCCACGGGGTGTCACACTGCCCAAATCTTTCTCTATTTAGCCAAACTGAATGTACTGGGAAATATTAGGATTTTAGCGTTGATTCACTAATTCTTCCCACTGTCTTCTTTTGTGTTTGTGCCTGAGAGCTAAAAGAGAAACAGCGAGGCATAAAAATATAAATCCTGGGAGTCTGGAGTGATGGTTCAGGTAGAGGGTACTGGGGTTGGAGTACTAATACCCACAGAGCGACTAACAGCTGCCTACAGTTCCCGGAGATCTCTGCAGCGCCCTCTCCTGGCCGCTTCTGGCACTGCATGCAAGGTGCACGGACATATGTGCAGGCAAACCACTCACGCACATTGTATACATCTGGGACTTCTTTCAGCGGTTCTTCCCAAGTCCTAGAATCTTACATAGCATATTTGGGAACTGAAACTCAAAGAGGATGTGGCATACAACTGGTTAATGTTAGAACTGGAACAAGATGCTTGGTCCCCTTACAGTGCAGATCCAGAGGTCACATAAGCTGTGAATGCAACAGAAAAAAGAAATGGGTGGGGCGCGGGGGGTGGGGGGAGACCACCCAAAAACCAAGCGATGGGTGTTGAGGGATCACTTGATTCCCAAAATATTTGTTATGAGAGGGAGGTTGACTTTGAAGAGGCAAAGCATCCAAGAGGGTGGATGTTTTACAGAATAACAACCATCCCCGTTGTTGTCTTTCTTAATAACAGCAGTTTCGAGGCATGGCTGACATCTCTTCAGAACCTTGAGACTTTTGGTCTTTTTTTTTTAAAGTTGGAGCTGAGCATCTGATACAACCCAAACCCACCTCCTGGGCCGTTCTGGCGGGTTTAGGGAGGCTCCAGTGAGGTCTGGAGCCAGTCTGGAAACTCAGGGGGCCGCCGTCAGAGGGCACAGTCAGACTCTTTGATGTGTTCCTCCTTAAAACATATCTCAGAGGAAGCCTCCGACATGGGGATGTCCTGAGTCTCGGGACTCTCAACCATGGACCTGTAGCGGGGACTCAGGGGTCCCCCTTCCTCGGAACCCCACTCCAGCACTGGGTCCTCCGCACTCTGGTTGAAGAAAGCCTTCAGTCTGTGAGGTTGCATCCTGTGGGCCACTGCCATGACTAGCCCAAGCAGAATACACAACAGTCCTGAGGAGGAAGGTGACATGTGTCTTGCCTTAGTTCTAGTAGGTCTTCCCAAGAGCATCTCCTAAGAGCATCAGAAGAACTCTATAAGGGAGGTCTGGGTCCCTGCCTTAGGGTGAATTCATAGAGCTAACTCGATGTCCTAGGGTCCATATCGCTGGTATGGGTCTACTGTCCTGAATTTTCATACTCCAAACTGAGGTTGAGAGAGAAGAAGACAGACTGAAAATAGGGACAGATGGAGACAAAGGAAGGAGGCATGAAGATGACGTGGGCGAGTAGACGGAGCATGGTAGGAGAGTGACACCGTAAGACAGGTGGATTTAGGGCGTTTGGGGTAGTGTGAGGTGGGGACATGCAAGGGATCTAGGACACAACGAGAACTGTGGTTAGGGATGCAGGAGAGGACACACAACTGGAAGATGTGGAGGACTTGAGTAAAGAGAGTTAGGGAATAACGGATGCGACCGAGAGGCTACAGAGAAGTGAGCGTGGACGAGGAGAGGAAATGGCATGCGCGCGAGAGAAAGCCAGAAGATGAGGGAGTTGAGAAGGATGGGGCTCTAGAAAAGGCACCGACATCTTGACCTCTAGAAGTAGACCCTCCACCCCGCCAACATGATAGTCCCTCACCTCCATCCTGAGCCCTTACCTTCAGGGGAGGGTCTCACCTGTGGCCAACGTGATCCAGAAAGCAGGCCCATGGTGAGGGGACAGCACAGCAGTGCCCACGCGCAAGGGACAGGGTGATATGAGTGATGTGGCCATGGAGAAGAAGAACAGAGCCGACAGCTGGAAGAGGCCAGTAGCCAGCAGCATGTGGCCGCCATAAATCAGCACCGGCATAGACAACATCACGTTGGTCAGCAGCCAGCAGAGGAAGGCCACCCTGGAGAGCCAAAATGCAGTGAGGACTGGCCCAGGCCCCTCTACTTGTTGGAGAGGGTGGGATGGCCAGGTACAGGCTGTCCCAAATACGTGAAGGGACGTTCTTGCCTGTGGGCTTCCCAACCAAGAACTAAAGTGACTGATGCCAGCTCCTCCCACTTAGGATACCCCCTTGAGTATGGCTAGACTGTCTGTTCCTGAGTTTTAGGCCAGTGGGGGCTATCTCATCCCATACCCATGCTCACCACAGCATGGCTGAAGCATAGTGTCCTGCTAGGCGGTACTGGTTGTATAGGCCACATGGGCTTCGAGGGGAGAACTTCTCAGCCAGGTAGAGCACAGGGTCTGGAAGCCCCTTCTCCAGTGCCTTCGTATACTCCTCCGCATAGCTCTCACCCAGGCGCCACGTGAACTCCTCATTGTAGTTGATGGTTTCATTCAGTTGCTGCACTGGGGTCCCTGAGGAGCAGGGTAGCTGTGCTTAGCAGAGACCCAAGAACTGTATTGGACCATTCACCTGGGTAGGGGTTCGTTCACACTGGGCAGATGGCCAGGAGCTGACAGCCAACAGAGGAGACAGCTCTGAATTTCCCCTCCCCCTCAACGCTTACACTTCCAGACTCTGGTGCTGGGCACACTGTAGTTCTACACACCACATAAAATACATCTCAAAGAGGCAGAGCAGAGCCTTCCCTCCTTCACGAGTTAGAACCCTCACCTGTGAGTGTGATGTTGACTCCTCCGAGCCCAATCTGCAGTCCCACATCCACGCTGACCCACTCGGGACTGAAGGCTTTGTATGTCGTGTTGGTGTTGACTTGGCCCACAGACCACTCAGAACTGAAATTCACAGCTGGGATTGGGGAGTTGCAACTCAGGAAGGCCTGAGCATTACTGGATTAGTCAGAAGGAAAACTACAAGGGCTTCATGCCTGGACTTGTCATAATTGTATACCCATTCACTAGTCCAGGCCTGGCTCATACTAAGTCTGCCAACCATTATTGTGGGGTGAAGAAAAGGGTCAGAATCTAAAATTTTCCATGCTCACACTCTGCTTACCCCTCCCAGTCCCGTTTATGGACAGCCACTCAGGCGACTGACTGGTAAGGAAGCATTCACATAGACCATGATGGGCAAACACAGACAACTTCAATACCAATGGTCTGTTTTCCCTATTCCTCTAATCACTGAAGCCAGACAAACAGCCCTCCCCTAGAGTCCTCCTGCCTACATTCATTACAACCCAAATAAAACAGCAGCAAGACTGAAAAGATGGATCCTCCTGGGCTTCCCTGGCCCGCACCTTTCAGGGCAAGGGTAAGAGTAAAGGGCTAAAGCCATGGTGAGAGAGGTGTGTGGGCTGGATCTGGAAGGCACCCTGAATCAGTGACCACTATGGAGAAACAAAAAGAAGAGGCAGCCACAGAGGAAACTTCACAGGAGAGAGGCAGCTTCCCAAGCCTGTGGCATTTGGCACTCACCCAGGATCACAGCCCCGATGAATAAGCTGGTCACCACCCGCAGCATCCAGAACAGCCTCTGAGTCAGAGGGGCCAGATTTAGTAAGCATAGCCCTCCATCCACGGTCACCATTCCTCTTCCTATGGTGGGGAGGGACGGGGGTCCTACCACTGAGCCTCTTTGGCCAGTTAAGATCAGAGTGTCTGGTACAAAATCATTCTCAATCTGTTGGTTCAGTGAATGGGGAGCTCTGCTCTAGGGATGGTAACGAGGCTTCCTCAGCACTGGAGTTCCTTCCCTGAGTCTGCCTCTCGACAGAATCTGGACTCCTCATCCTGACGCTGAAGTCCTCCCTGGGGCTGGAGTCTACAGGGCTGGGTTTGTTTCTTACCGTCTTCCCACGGATGCCAGGCAGGATGATGATAAAGGTGACCAGTGCAGTCAGAAAGATGGTGATTATAACAGCCAAAGCTGTGTCCATTGGGAAGGTTGGCTTGGGACCCGGATAGAAGGGCAGTGTGTATCCAAGAGCAGCCATTTTGTCGGGGGGTGAGCCGAGGTGGTGAGGCTGCAACAACAGGTATTCACTGAGTGCCCTCTGTGAACCCGACACACTGTGGGGCTGGGGATGCTGCAGAGCATAAGCCAACCCGGCTCTGTCATCTCTTATGCCGTGTGTGTGTGTGTGTGTGTGTGTGTGTGTGTGTGTGTGTGTGTGCCTTCTGACCTTCACTACCATTACCGCTATTCCACTGCCTTTCAGCCGTCCATCTCCTCGTCTTTTGGCTGTGGCAGATTTAGGGTCTTGGCAATCAGTCTCTGCTGCCCTGTGGTCCCTTCCTAACCACTCACTTTGGGGCCTTTTCTGTTTCTTCTGGGAATATCGGAAGAAAAAGAACTCTCTTTCATTCCCCCCTCCCAGGCTCTAGCACAGGCAGATCACAGAACATAAAAAGAACTGTATTTACTATCAAACAAAGTCATAAGGGTAGGAGATGGTGCAGATTACAAAGAGATTGCCTTTCCTCTTCAGTCTTCAAAGGAACAAAGGCCAAAAAGCTGCTAAGTGTACAGTCCAAGTACACTAACAGGGGCTGATCCCTAGACCCAGCACTGCCCAGCCTGCTTAAGTACCTGAACTCCTGAGTCTGGTGAGTCCAGAACAACCTAGGTAGGCATTGCAGGAATACCTGCCCTCTGTCAGGCACAGTGCTGGGACCAGATGTCCTAACTATTCCATGCATCGCCAACATAGGCCTTTTTCTTCCGTTCACATTCCCTATGTGGTACTTCAACTCAAATACTGACTTTGGTCTTCTCTGCCTCATGCCTGATTGATCTTAGAGCATATTTGACTCCTATTTGTCCCTTTATACACAGGACGTTAGCAAAAATGATACCTGGCCATTTCATCAGTTTTTAGACAGAATTAATTGCAAAACACACTACTATTTCACAATCATAAAGAAAGTCCTGTCAATTAAACCATCACAACCATTGTGATAAGATGCACCCCGACTTGAGAGACATCAAAATCAGGGGTGAAAAATTAGAATCGCTGCCCCGGTTCTGTTCATTCTTCCAAGTGTGATCTGCACTGGGGTCTCATATTATCCAGGAGAACCCATCATTTAACCTGAGCAGGGAGAATCGTGTTTAGTGGGAAGGTAAAAGAGGCAGCTTCGTGGTCAAACAGCTCTGGAGGGTTTGCATTCGGTCTCTGTCTTTTGCAACTTCACCTCTCTGTAGTTTTATTGAAAAACAAAACCAAAAACAGAACAAAAAAACAAACAATAATGTTTCCTTCAGTGTGTCCCTATGAGGGTGGAATGAGTTTGGGTATGGAGAGTGCAGCGAGTACTATTGGAAACAAACAGGGAGTGTATGGCACGGCAACGAGACAGGGAGGCACATAGCTTAGCCTTTAATCCTGTCTTTTGGACAAGCCATACAACCGCAGTTTCAGTCTTTAACGTGAAAGTTTCACTTTCTTCTAAAGTACTCAGCTCTTCCACCCCAGAGAAATACTCATCTTTTCCCCAGCCCTGCAGCTCCTCCTGCCCAACCCCCGACCACCTTATCATCAGTCATCCTCGTGCTGTCACGGCTTTTCACTTTTTATTCTCTGCTGGATCTTCCTCCCAAGCATAGGTTCAAGTTTCTTCCAACTCAGATCACAAAAGAAGGAACATTTCCGGATCTCCACTCACTGTTTGGTCCTACGCTCTCCTTTTCACAGCCAGGATTTTTGACAGAATAGTCTGTGTTGGTTCTTCCTTATTCTTATCTATTTCTTGTCGCCTTGGCCCATAGTAACCTAACTTTTCTGCATCTTTATCTGTGGCATTACATCACTAAATAACCTAAAGGGAAAGTCTCACTACTTAAAACTTTTTAAACTTGTGGTATTTGACACTGCAGAGTACATCTTCTTTCTTGAAACTTACTCTTTGGTTCCACAATACCATGTTTTCTGTGTCCCCTATCATTGGCCACCCTATATAGGCTTCTCTTTCTTCTCTCTGTTAAATATTGATGCTGCTCAGGATTCTATCATAATTCACTTCCTCTAGTCATTCAGGTTTCCCTGGATAGCCCAGCGTGGTGGTACACCCCTGTAATCTGAGCAATGAAGAGGTTGAGGCAAGAGCTGAGAGTTCAAGGCTAGCCTAAACTAAGGTAAGACCCTCTTTCAAAAACAAAACAAAATACTCCTAGGTAGTCTCGTCTGTTCCCATGGCTTATAGTTCTCAAAGGTCTCCCTGGGCTCCAAACTCAAAAGGACCAACTAACTACCTCATGAATTTTGATGTCTCAAATTGAAGAGGCTCCAAATGGAATTCTCTGCTGTTTTTTTCTTTTTAGTTTTACCACCATCCATTAATCAAACAAAGATGCCAGAATCAGGGTCATCCTACCCCCTGAGTATTTCTTGAAATTATCTGTTGGTTGCCTTGGCTACTGCCTTTGCTGATTTTAGTCTCATCCTCGCTAGCCTGGTTATTTTCTAATAAACAAATCTAGTCATGTCACTTCTTTGCCCTGGGTAAAATCTAATTTTTTCACTATCACATGTAAAGTGCTTTATGAGCAGCGCCCCCTCTTTCCCTCTCCATGACTGACATGCTGTTCAAGCTTTCTTGCCTTTGAATGTGTTATTTCCTCTACCTGGATTGTTCCACCCTTGGCAAACGCCTGTCCTCACTTCCAGTCTCAGCTCACCTCACCTTCTCTGTGGAGTTCCCTCTAAGGCCGTTGGACCAATGGGAAGATTCCCACTCTCCCACTCCTGTTGTATTTTGATCATATCTCCTGATCACAATAATTACTGTACTCCATCACTTTGAACATTTGTCTCCCCTTTAGACACAGTCTCCTTGAGGGCAGAGATTTAATCTTCCCATCTTTGCATCATCTGCATGTAGCACATTCTAATCAAATCTGGATCGAATTAATGAATATGAATGAGTTCTTTTCACAGGCATCTCCTTCTGAGTCTTCACACAAGAGGGAGCTATGTCCCCTCATTACCCACACTGTTCTCACTCACTCACATTAACTGAGTGCCACCAAGACAAGGCTAAAAGCTGTATAAGAAGGGATCTGATGGACCTGATCTACATTTAGTAATCTCAAAAAAAAAAAAACAAAACTGTCTAGAAGCCCTCTTCCAATAGCTAGAGTCTCTAAGAATAGTAAAGAGAAAAACATAAATGTTTGCATTTAGTTGAACATAAAGCATACATTGTAAGCTCAGCTGAAAATGTATAGCTAAAAGTCTGTTATTTTGAAGTACTGGAAAGAAGACTCAGAGGTTAACTAAAAGCACTGGATGCTCTTGCAGAGGACCCGGGTTCAATCCCCAACAACCACATGGCAGATCACAACTGTCTGTAACTCTAGCTCCAGAGGATCTAATGCCCTCTTCTGGCCTCTACAGGCATCAGTCATGTACATTGACATATATACCAGCAAAACACCCATACACACACAATTTTTTTAAATAAACTAGAACCAGTTTTTTAAATAAAATAATTAACAGTAACATTTTATTTTTAAATGTTTATATTTAATAGTGCACACATGCGTGCGTCTGTGTGCGCGTGTGAGTGTGTGTGAGTGTGTGTGTGTGTGTGTGTGTGTGTGTGTGTGTGTGTGTGTACGTACTTTCCATGGCATGCCTATAGAAGTGAAAGGACATCTTTGTGGAGTTGGTTCTTTCTTCCCATCTTTCTGTGGGTTCCAAGGCTTTAACTCAGGTTGCCAGGCATAGCCAGCCAGTGCCTTTACCAGATGAGCCGTCTTGCTGGCCTAGTGACATTTATTGTAAAGCATATTTTTTGTTATAGCAAATTTTTATTTATGATGCCCAAACTGAAATAATTTCTAAGAAAACCTCTATAGGAAGAAAAACTCTACAATGTAGAAGGTCTTAGGTCTCAGTTAAGATAGCCAGGCATGGTGGCACATTCCTTTAATCCCAGTACTTGGGGGGCAAAGGCAGGCGGATCTTTTTTTTAGTTGAAGGCAGCCTGGTCTACACAATGAGTTCCAGTCATTCCAAGGCTATATGATAAAAGTGATGATGGTGATGATGATAGTAATATAATAATAATAATAATAATAATAAGAAGAAGAAGAAGAAGAAGAAGAGGAAAGGGAGGGGGAGGGAAAGAGGGGAAAAAAGAAGACATGATTTAAGATAAAGCAAGCAAGATTGTTCATAGAAAGAGCTCATATTAGGGCCCATGAGGTGGATATGTGGGTGAAGGTGCTTGCTGCCAAGCCTGAAAATTTGAGTCTGAGTCCTAGAAGCCACACGGTGGAAGGAGAGAACTGATTTCTGAAAGCTGTCTTCTGATGTCTGCACTCATGCCATAGGTGTGTGTGTGTGTGCATGTACACACACACACACACACACACACACACACACACACACACACACACGAAAAATGAAAAAGAACCCATATCATATGGTTGAATTTCAGCAACAGGTATTTGCAGTGCAAGCAGATATCAACTAACTTAATGCATCTTGGTCAGGATCACATATACTTAGTGTTCCTGTGCTTATTTTAATGAGAGGTTATATAAGTTTTGTGAGCATGGCTCATCTCTATTAACATGATGCGTCAAAGAAACACTAACAAAAGGCTTTTTTGTATCTCAAGTACAGAAGGACATTGTTAACATTTCCGATTCTCCAAAATACGGATTACGGATGACTAGAGCAAAGCTAGTTGGTGACTGCAATATGCTTTGCTTGGTCTCTCCCATTAGTCGTGCGATTTCGTGACTTAGATATTCCTTCCTCTACACTGCCTGATGTAGTAAAGTTGAATTTTCATGGCTGATCCTAATTTGGGTTCATTAGTATGCAAACAGGGCTCCTGAATGAGGAGATGGACTGAAATAACAAAGCAGCAGAACTCTGCTTTTCCGAGTTTCTCTTGGGACCATCTTTCCCGCTCAGGCTCGACAAATGGAGTCGATGGCAGAATTGGTTCTCACCTAGCAAAATCTCACGTCAATGTTAACTATACCCTCTGGTTCCTCAACTCACCACCATGACTGGTACATACATGCAGTCTATACTGATGCATAAGACAGTTAAATAAACACACACCTACAAACTTACATAAACACAGATAGACAGACAGAAGAGGGGCACACCCCGACTCTGTCGTACTCAGTAACACAGACACCTACAGTTCTTTACAGGGGCCCCTATGATGACTTGGGTGAAGGGCCAGTTCCTTCACTTTGGAGTTCTATTTTTTGACGTGGCCTGGAGAGTGACCTTTAAGTGCTAGAGGCTTTCTCCAGTGATCCACAGTTTTTCCAATGTAGTTATCTAGTCCTTACCTGTAACAAGATGAAGTGGGTTCCCAGTGTTTATACGACAGGTGGGTAGAGATAAAGTTAACAGTCTCGAAGACCCAGCCTAGTAAAGTCCTAGTTTCATCACTTAAAGTCAAGGGGAGATCTGGAACCTCTCTTGAAGTTTAACAAGATTTCCTTCCCGAAGCTTTCCTGTAAGGACTGCTAGCTCCCTATAAAGGCAGCTTAGGTGACATGTCTAATATTGTCAAGCACTCTGATGGGGTGATGCGTGGCTACGGGAATGGGATAGCTTATGTCTCTGACTGAAGTAAAACCTATTGAAAGTTTACATCTCCGGCTGACTAAAGAGAGTCCTTTTCAGGAACTGCTGGTCCTCCTTCCTAAGGAAGGTAGAGGAGGGGGGGAGGGAGAGGGAAAGAGAGAGAGGGGGGAAGAAGGGAAGGGAGGGGAGAGGGAGAGGGGGAAGGGGAGGAAGAGGGAGGGGGGAGAGGGAGACAGAGAAAGAGAGAGAGAGAGAAAGAGGCAGGGAGACAGAGAGACAGAGAGAGACAGACAGAGAGAGAGAGACAGAGAGAGAGAGAGACAGAGAGACAGAGAGAGACAGAGAGACAGAGAGAGACAGAGAGACGGAGAGACAGAGAGAGAGAGGATTCCCCAGTGATAGGTGGTAATGGACTCAGGGATGGGGAACTGAACAATCCAACCTACCCAGACTCCAGTTAAGAGAAATAAAGAGTTAGTGTCGACAAATCTTGTGACTTTTATAGCTTTAAGAAGTCTGCCTTGTCTTAATTTCCTGTCAAACTTTCTCCTTCACCGTCCCCCCACCCCAAATCTGAATTGATCTGTGTAGACTCAAGAAGTGCGCCCCTAGGGGTCGGCACTAGAGCAGCCCTTCAAGGTCTGATCGCAAGGAAACCGCACAGACCCCGCATCCACGCGCGATCCATAGTTCCCTACCTTCTTCTCTTTCAGATATTGTGTGCGTGGCACCCGGGGCTGCTCGGCTCTTCCTTTGGGAACTCACTCGCAACGCTCCTGGTCGTGGAGATGGGGCCGGAATCCGGTCCGGACGTTAATGTCCTGTCACCAAAACTACGCACTTTGTCCCGCCAGGGTCCCTTCCAACCTCCCATTCTTCTAACTCAATTGCGGACCAAATTATGACCCTACAAACCCGGCCTGGTGTCTTCCTCGCCTTCCATTGCAAGTCATTTTCAACTTTCTCGGCCCTGGCACCCCGCCCTCGGACACCAGACGGACTGGTGTGCGCCTGGACCCTGTGCATCACCCCAGAGTCCTCCTATTCCCTACCCACGCCAGCACCCCGGGCAGCTGCAACGCAAACCTAGCGACCAGGCTCCCTGGGCGTTGAGACCTGGGAGGTCCCACCAGGAACCCTGGTTACCCAGACTTACAGGATGGGGGGACAGATGGATACCTTGCTTTGGAGCCAGGTCTGATCTGTAGGTAGGTGTTGGGTGATTGGTTATCTTCGTTTTAGAGCCCGGACACCGATTGTGTGGCGAGGATTTGGGGACAGCCCGCCTGCCTCACACCTTCTCGGGTCTTCCACCCTCTCCTCAGCCCCCTCCAACTTGTGGAGGAGACTTGCCTTCCCGCCTCCCACACGGCCACACGGCCTGAACCCTTGGCACCGCAGGAGCCCAGCATCCCACAGGGTCTCACCTTTCACGCTCGGGTCCCTAGGAGTGCCCGGGCGGCGGGTCGCGGTGCCAGCCTCTATCCCGCCCTACTGTGCCCCGCCCCAGCGCCGGGACGCGCTAGCCGCTCTTCAGCCCGGAGCCCCGCCCGCCCCGGCTCAGAGCTGGAGAGGCAGCCAGAACCGAGCCGGCTACAGCGAACCCGGACCCAGGCCGGAGGCAATCCGCAGTCCCAGGCTGGGGGACCAGAGGCGAAGGTCAGATCCAAGAGCGTTTCTCCTGGCCCGCGGGAAAGGGTACTCCGAGGGAAGGGGCTCTGAGGCGGGGACAGAGGGGGAAAGGCTCGCCGGTGGGTCCCCCTTCTGCAGAACGGGAAATGTCGCCTCGTGTACCTACCTCCAATCTTTTCCTGAGGCTAAAACAGACCTCGCTAAGGCCTGAGCCCAGCACACTGGTTTTGAAAAACCAGGGTCATCTGGTCCTAAGCACGTTGAGTGACCTAGTTTGTTTGGGTCTAAAGGGTTGCTTCGCACCAGCATGTCCTGCCAATGACAGACTTCGGGTGTACAGTATACAGGCATTACTTCCTGCTCTTCCAGGTTGGGAATCTCAGTCGTCTTACCCCATCTTCCTCTCTCTCCTACCCTGGGGCCAACAGAATCACCATTCTAAAACTGTGGTCTGGAAACATGGCCATGTGGGGCAAGAACCAGGCAGGCTTGGTACTCACCCTGGTTCTACCACTGCCTGGGGTTTCATTGCCTGGGAGTTGTGCCTTCGTTTCCAGATGGTTTGGGGAGTCACCACACCCAAGTGTCTTGTGTAAATTGTTAAGGTCTACCTACCCACAGGAGATTTTTAGGATGGCTACTCTCCTTGGCAGTTTGTCCCCACAGTCTGGCCTGAAAGCCCACAGGCCGTTAGGGATGGAGTGTTCTACCTACATTTGGGGTCCAGGTTCCTGAAGACTTGATGGGAAGGGGAAAGAGGTCAGACTGTTTGGATTAGGGAAGCACAACGGTGGCCAGCCACTCCATCACATCCAACTCAACGTTTCAAGAGCCCAGCTCTTCACATGTTACCGAAGGCCACACCCGGAAGACTCTCTAGCATAGAGGCAATACTGAGTTAGGTTTTTTTTCACTTGTTTAGTAGGAGATGGGGAGGGGATGAGGCCACTCGCTGGGGCTTCTCTCCTTGGACTGGAGGAGTTCTGGCTAAAGATGAGGCCTTCTGTGAGCACAGGGCTTTCACCACCTTACCCCCAATCTTTAGCACATCTTCAGTGAAATTTTGCCAGAGGAGTCCTGGCTGGAGTCTCCTACTGTCTCTGTTTCTCTGTTGTCCTCCATGCTTTATTGGCCTGTGGAGGGAAAGCAGGACTGAAAGATAAGCCGCTCACGTGGCACTCCTCCCGAGTCTACGCACTCACAGGAGTCACGCTTCGGCCTCTGTCAGTCTTCACCATCAAGTCAGATTCTGATCACAGTGTTGAGAGGTGAACAGTTCAGGCACATCCACCACCAGGATGGATCCGATCAATGTTTTCCCTCAGATCCCACAGAGGGCGAGCAGCAGACCTGACACCTCTGCGGGGCCGGGTCTCTCAGCCCCCTCCTCCCAAGCAGTGGAGCAGACTGTGTGGGCAGCTGGGCCAAATCGAGGGTTTTCAACTACTGAGAAACTAAAGGTCACAAGGGCAGGGATGGCTTTGTTTCCGTCAGTCGCTTGGTCTCCAGAGCCTAGGTCAGTTCTGTGCACAGCATGTGCTCATCAGTTATCTGCTGAATGAGTGAGAGACCTTCGGAGGGAGAGAGCCTCTTGCTTTGCTACCCAAGCCATGTGGGTCCAGCTCCCCAGCCTTGATTCTTAGAGGCCCTGCAGAAGGCTTATACTGATTCTCTTGAGTAGCTGGACTCACTCTTCTGTCCTATGTTTCTCTAGGTCTCTATTTTGAAGTTTTGCGACACTTAATCCCTCATTACCACGTTTCATCATGGGTTTTCACCTAGCTCTGGCCTGGATCCTCCTGGTTGGGACGCTGGCCTGTTTGGGTGAGTACAGACTGGAGGAGAAGCTTGTGTAGGAGCAGGGGAACCTATGTCCCCTGATCTTCTCGAGATGTGTCGTATCGGTTCTTGTTTCTAGCTGTTGAATAAATGGGTAGGTAGTAGAATGAAAATACTTTCTTCTAGTATGGGGCCCCTTCTCTCTCCTCTGTCTTCTATCCTTTTTGTTAAGGTAAGTTCTCCTGACTTGAAATAGGAAAGACTGAGCAGACACAGAAGATAACAAAGCATCTTAGGGTAAAACCAAACCCAAAGCTAAAGAGGAGTCACCAGTGTTTTTCAAATAAAATGGGCTGGGTGGTGGTGGCGCACACCTTTAATCCCAGCACTCGGGAGGCAGAGGCAGACGGATCTCTGTGAGTTCGAGGCCAGCCTGGTCAACAAAGCGGGTTCCAAGACAGACTCCAAAGCTACACAGAGAAACCCTGTCTTGAAATAACCCAAAACAAACAAACAAATAAATAAAATAAAATGGTCTTAGGCAGGGGATGTAATTTAGTGGTAGAGCATTTGCCCAGCATATGTGAGGGCCTGGGTTTCATCCCCAGTGCTGAAAAAAGAAAGCACAAAATAAAATAATAGCATCAGAACACAATATGGCCCACAGCAATTCCAGCTTTGGAAGTCTGAGAGCTTTAGAATTAGTGGCTGTTCCCTATAATCTAGAGCTCTGAAGAGGGAAGTGGACCCACGATGGTACAAGGTGGGTTAAAAAAGAGCAAGTCTCGCCGGGCGGTGGTGGCGCATGCCTTTAATCCCAGCACTTGGGAGGCAGAGGCAGGCAGATCTCTGTGAGTTCGAGGCCAGCCTGCTCTACAAAGTGAGTTCCAGGAAAGGCGCAAAACTACACAGAGAAACCCTGTCTCGAAAAAAAGAAAGAGCAAGTCTCTAGCCTGCTGTCCCAGGACCTTGGAGATAGAGGCAAGAGGATCAACCATTTAAAGTCATCTTCTAGTATATAATGAGTTCAAGGTCAGCCTGGGCAACTTGAGACTGTCTCAAAACAAGCAAACGAGCAAATCTGGAAAGTGTTTTGCATCTTGGGAGATGATAAATGAGGATATCTTTCTGAAGTAGCACCTCCTGGCTGGCGGTGGCAAGACAGTGATATGGACCTACGTTCTCCCTTGCCAAAACTGCTCACCTTTGAGTTCTTTCCAGTACTCTCCTTAGGGCTTCATTTTTTTCTCCCAGCTCTTGCCTCTGATTCCTAAGATATATTCTTCCCCAAAGACTCCTTCCTCAGCCTACCACCAATTCATCTTCTTTTAGAGGTCTTATGTGAGTGGCTGTCTACTGCCCCAGATCTTTAGTCAGGTTCAAATATCAGAGCTTTACCTGTTTTTCCTTCCTGACCCCCTGGTGAGTGTGTCTGTATGTGCACCTGTGTGTGTAAGCCAGTGTGCAAGCAGCACCCACAGCTTGGACATCCTGTCTTGGTCTAAGGACAGTCAAAGGAGTGGGCTCCCTCTTGCTGATAGAGCCCTTTCTTCTGTTCTCTCGGGTGAGCAGAGAAGAAATCTTCTAGTTTTTTTTTTTTTTTTGGGGGGGGGGTGTCTGGCTAGTCACCTGACTTACTGACAAAGAAGATTCCAGACCCTCCCTTCTTGTCCTGCTTCCTCAGCTCTTCCCCACAGCAGCCAAAGGTTCCCTCCTGGACTGTAGGTTTTTACAGTAGCATTACAAACAGGAGTAGGGCTGGAACGGGGGCTCAGCAGGGAAGAGCACTGGCTGCTCTTCTGAGGACCTGGGTCCAGTTTCCAACATCCACATGGCAGCTCACAACTGTCCGTAACTCTAATTCCAGGAGATCAGTCACCCCTCTCCTGGCCTCTGTGGGCATCAGGCATGTGTGTGGTACACAGACATGCATGCAGGCAAAGCACCCATACACATAAAGTAGATAAATTAAAAGAAGAGGAGGGAGCAATGAAACAGGGACAAGATGTTCCAAAGGGGGAAGGGGCAAGGTCATTCCCATGACCAGTCCTTGGTCTCACCCAAGAAACTGGGAAAAAGACCAGGGTGGCAGTAACACACCCTGCCTTGGAGCTTTGTTCAGTGGGAAAGAGCCAAGCCCCTCTTCACACCGTGCCTGCCCAGTGACGGGTCACAGAATGACTTGTCCTTCCCAGTTATAGGGTGTGGCTGGCTCTTGTTTCATACGGTATTTGAGGGACAGGGATAACTTCTGTCCTGCTGTGTCTCCCAAGGGCTTGAAATACGAGGAGTCCAAGATTGTGCATCCTCTTCCGGACTGCAGCTCTCCTCCCTGTTCTTGGAGGCCATTTGTGAGCAGGCACTGTA